GTTCTCTCACTTGGTGGCCATGTAGTCCCCTCCCTATCCCTTCCTGGTTCCTGTGCATCGTCTTTGTCCCACCCCACACCCTGACGCCCTGAGCGCGCCTCACGGCACCCTGTTACCTCCCGCCAGAGTGTTCGTGGTGTTCCTGGTCGTCATCAGCGTTCTATGGATTCCCATCATCCAAAGCTCCAACAGCGGGCAGCTGTTTGACTACATCCAGGCTGTGACCAGCTACCTGGCCCCGCCCATCACCGCCCTCTTCCTGCTGGCCATCTTCTGCAAGAGGGTCACAGAGCCTGTGAGTGCAGCAGCCCAGCGCAAGGTCATGGCAAAGGAGACCAGAGAAACCCCCCTGCCAAAGGAGAGCAAAGCAAGGTGTCCATTGGTGCCTACCGTTTGCAGAGGTCTGACCTCCCTGCTGGTAACCATGGTGCATTAGCAGGACTAAGTTGTATTCTGGATGTCTCTGCTCATTCCAGAATTTTTGAAATCAGGATTAGCATTTCATTTATGAAAATACAAGTCATCTGACTCTTACATAACCTAAACAGGTATAGGTTAGGGATAAAATGCTATAAAGAAGATATGGGAGGTGCCAGAAATTTTTTGTTAAAAAAAAACAAACAAGCAAAAGACACGGGAAATAGAAGCAACAAAAGGAAGATAGATGTCTATGCTGATTTCCGATTTATCAAAACAGAAGGTTGGGAAGGGGAATCCTGGTGTTCCCTGCTTATTACAAAAGCATATTCCATTCTAGTTGAATATTAAGCATCTATACTTAGTACTTATTAATTTGTCCTGCCATTGCACATGTGAAAACTGAGCCAGGGAGGTTGAGTCACTGCTTCAGTTATTCCGGGATGGAGCCGGGATCTAAATCCTGGTCTAACTCTGAAGCCTCTGCTTCTTCCAAAACCCCACTCTGCCCAAGTTAAGACAAAGCCACAGTGTGAATGGGGAGCTCACTCAGATGGACTTGCAAACACCGTAAAAAATCCGTAGGAGAGAGATTTGGGGCAGAGTGGCTTTTAGCTTTCTAGGACCTCCCACCTGGATCTCACCCCTGCCGGGTCTGCCCTCTCCCCATAGGGAGCCTTCTGGGGCCTCATGTTCGGTCTGGCAGTGGGGTTACTGCGCATGATCCTGGAGTTCTCATACGCAGCCCCAGCCTGTGGGGAGGTGGACCAGAGGCCGGCTGTGCTGAAGGACTTCCACTACCTCTACTTTGCACTCATCCTCTGCGGGCTCACTGCCATTGTCATCATCATTGTCAGCCTCTGCACAACCCCCATCCCTGAGGAAAAGGCAAGTGGATGCTGAACTCCCCCTTACCCCCAAGCGCCCCCTTACTCCCAGCACCTGGAATTCCACCACTGAGTTTTACTCCATTGGGTTATGATCTCACCTGTTGCCATACAGATGTCCTGGGGAGGGGGCATTCATTGGGTTATTGATTCTCAACTGAAAGTTCATTCAGTTGTAAAATTATTAAGTGAGCATCTACTATGGGACAGGCCCTGTGCTGGGGTTACAAAGATGAATGGTCCTTGCCAGATACTGTCGATGAGGGGGAACAGATACCCACACAAACAGCTACTCTACCAAGAGAAAGTGCAAAAAGACCAAGTTCAAAGGGCAGGAGCACAGAAGGAGAGGCAGTTACCCCTGGGGGCTGGGGAGGGTTCCCTGACAAGGTCCCTTTGAGCTGGACCTAGAAGAATTGATAGGGATTTGTTGACCAGTAAAGAAAGAGCATATGAGAAAAGAAACAGAGTCTAGCAGAGTAAGAGCGCAACTGGGAGTCCTCACCTCTCTCATGCTGACAGATTTATCAGTCCTCAGACATGAAGCCCAGTCTTGAAACCATTTTTCTTTAGAACCTGTCTTAGTTTGCTAGGGCTGCCGTAACCAGTGCCACAGACCAGGTGGCTTAAACAACGGAAATGTATTTTCTCACAGTCCTGGGGGCTGGATGTCTGAGATCAAGGTGTCGGCAGGGTTGTTTCCTGCGAGGCCTCTCTGCTTGGCTTGTAGATGTGCATCTTCTCCTGTGCATCTGCACATGGTCTTCCCTCAATGCCTGTCTGTGTCTTAATCTCCTTGACTTATAGCGACCTCATTTAACCTTACTTTCCTCTTTAAAGACCCTATCTCCAAATACAGTCACATTCTGAAGTAGTAGGGGTTAGGACTTCAACACATGAATTTGAGGTGAGGGAACACAATTTAGCCCAAAACAGAGTCTATGACAGAAGCTGGTCCTGAAACACTGGGTGGAAATCATTATTAACACCCCTTAACTGTATGGTGCATAAGAGTTTCCAACACGCCTTTACACCCTTGGTGTCAGTAATTCCTATAAATGAGCAGGCATTCACAGTTGAGCCAAGAGTGGCCAACTGCTCCAGTGGCTCACCCCATACATGATCTCCCTCCATTGCTTGCGTCTTCACTTTCTCCATTGTCTGCTGTCTCACTCCCACGCTGAAATGTTTCCTGATTAAATATCCCTCCCCAGATGCCGTTCTCCTCTAATTAATGCTTCCTCCCTCTCCACCCCTCAAAACCAAAGTTTTGCAAAGAATGGTCTCTATTTCCAGCCTCCCCGTCCCACGTCTCATCTACTTCTCAACCCACTGCCATCTGGCTGGTATCCCACTTTCCTACTGAAATTGCTTTCACCAAGATCCCCAATAGCTTCTTCTGGCTAAAAATCAGAATTCCCCATCTTAAGTGAATTCTGAAGAGACCCAGACACCGGTGAACACTTAGTGTATTCCAAAGACCTTTCTTCCATTCACTTCCATGACATATTTCCCTCCAGTATTTTTTCTTACAGTTTGATCGCTCTTCTGCATTCTTTTTTTTTCTTTTTTTAAGCTGAGCCATCCTGTCACCTGTTTTCAGCTCAGCAGCTGCTCAGCTCGGGCTGGGAATCAAACCGCTGTTGCTCAGAGCTCAAACTCTTGAGCGAGCTCTTAACCATCTGAGCCACTCAGCCGGCCCTCTTCTGCATTCTTTATAGGTTTTTCTTTCTGCCCCATAAATATCATTGTTCTTTAGGAACCCACCTATGGCCTATAGCCTTCTCAACCTACACTGTCCCTGAGCTATCTTATCCATGCCCGTGAATTCAACAACTCCTACATAAAGATGAAACTCAATTCTATATCTCAGGCCAGAACTCCTCTTCCAAGATTCAAACCCCAAATTCAACTGCCTGTGGATGGCTTGAAAAGACAGCATCCCTATGCTGCTAGTGACACACAGTGTACATAAAAAGGAAAGGTTACTGAGATACCAGCAAGCACAGACGCAGCCCAGGCTCTCAGGATCAGACAGAGAGGCTCAGCTGGACCAGGCACAGCTGCACACCCAGTGGAAAGGGTCTCAGGAGAGGGGCCCTGACTTTGCACTGTTGTACATATTTGTAGGAAGTTGCGGGCAGGGTAGGGGCACCTGGTTTAATATGTAACACAGAGCTTCCTGGCCAGGAAAGGAACTTGGTTGGAAAGGAGACAGTTCAGAGCTCAGGTAGTCATGGTTGGGCCTAGCTGACATCAACCAGAGAACTAGCTGTATTCTCTGCTGGGCCACTAACAAGGGAGAAGAGGGACCGCCACCAGGGCTGTCCAGGGCCCACAGGTTTTCTTCTCCTCACCTGGACGTCTCCGCTTAGAGATCCTACAGCCTCTTCAAGCTCATCACCATATTTGTGTGTGTATGAGCCCCTCCCCACTCCCTTTTCTCTCTCATCATCACCTAAACCCACTCCTTCTCCTGTCCACTCTGTCTCAGTGAGGGGCACCACTGTCCACCTGATGGTCCGAGGTGGGAAGCTGAGAGCCTTGTTACCACCCCCGCTCCCTCACCCAGCTCATTCGCTCAGCCACCATGGCCTGTAGACCTGATTCCTGAGCATTGCATAGGACTGCGCCCTCCTGTCATCTCAGTGCTCTTTATTTCTTGCTTCGCTTGCAACAGCCTCCAGGCTGGATCCCTTCAATTCACTCTGAAGGATCTTTCTAAATCCCTCTTCCCTGTGCCTAAAGTCTGCAGTGAGTCTCCGTTGCCTTGCTTTTGGGGGGTATCAACTCCTCAGCCTGACCTTGGAAGCCCTTTGTCATGGGGCGCCTGCCTCCCTGTCCACCTTCTTGTCTCCCAGGCTGTGAGCTCTGTGAGGTCAGAGGCTGTGTCTGGCTCGGTATGTTTTCCAGCACCTGGCGTGTGCTCAGGGAGTGCAGGTTTTCAAAGGAAGTGGTGGTCAGGCTAATAGCCAGGCCTGCTGCCCCCCAGCCCTGCGCGTGGTCCCGGCACTCACTCCATGCTGTTCTGGCTGCCTTCGTGATAGGCCCCCCTTTTCCTACAGCAGGACCTCCCTCTGAAGGTAACTGAGTCAAGACAGCATCTTCTTTCTCCCCAGCTCGCTCGCCTGACATGGTGGACACGGAACCACCCCCGCTCCGAGCTGGACAAGGAGGCCCATGAGGGCCCATCACAGATCTCAGAGATGCCACCTGGGGAGCACCCTGCAGCAGGCGGAGGGGCAGAGAACCCCAGCCAGGGCCGGGAGCAGCACGGAGGTAAGCTGAGGCCGTGCTGGGGGCGCGTAGCACAGAGAAGCAATGGGGACTAAGTCATGGGTTCCCAAAGACCCCCCTTTGGGGGTCACTGGGGATGGAGGCGCTGAGGGAGACCCAAAAATGTCACCCTTCCTTCCTTCTCACATGGCTATTAAACTGTTTGGGAAATAAGACAAACAAGTAAGGCAGATGGGAGCCAACACATTGCCCTCACTACTGGTAAGGAGCAGGTAGAAAGGTTTGGTTTACATCCATGGGGAGGTGCTCTTCTTAACACTGAACCCCAGCATTAGACAGAGGGACTCCTCAGTCACCTACCCTTGTGAGCACTGCACTGCCAAGAAGAAGGGGGGAGGGATTGGGCCAAGAATGCCCTCTTTATTCTTCCCAAATCTACTAACAGGGGAGTCCCTTCACCTCTCCTGGATTAAATTAATCTAAGCGCAGAAAATCAAAGGGTGTTACATTAATTGAGTTCCCTCTCCATGGAAGGAAACATCAGGTATGGCAAAGAAATGCCCCCCTGCTCCACCACCACATTTTATTATTGCTTTGTTGCCCAATGGGTTTAACAATTCTGCCTATATAGTCACACAGAAGCACGGTCATCCCTCACGAGACGAGAGCAGCCATGTGTCCATAGAGTTCTGTCTATGTTCATGAGGTTCCTCCGGAGCAATCAGCTTTCCGGTGGGTGTCCTCCTTAAGCTGCTGGTGAGCAATATAAATTTTGCCTCCTGCAGATTCTTAAATGTGTTAGAATAGGGTATGAATTAAATGTACTCCAGGGCCATACAGTGTCTAAAGTTGAAAATTGATATAAGACATAATGTAGCTGCTTTAGACCGAATGCAGCTGTAACCTTCCTGTAGTGTGATTAAATAATGATAATATATTCAGATATAATGACAAACCATAGAGATTTTCCAAAGTATAAAATTCCCAAGGAAAACTTAAAGTCAATAAAGTCAAATCAGTTTACAAGCTAAAGCCCCAAATCAACGTTTCTTGCCCTTGTGAGTTAAAAATGTAATGACATTTAGGTCCTAAATTTACTTCCTGCCTCAGGTAGAGGGAGCCCCAGGGCCAGGGTGGAGTTGGGGTGCCTTCTGTCACTGTCCTCTCCCATTGGATTGGGCAGAGCTCCGTCAGGGCCTCACCATTCCCAGCCTCTGGTGTGCCAAACTTTTAACAATTCCAGCAAGTTAATAATTCCATAGGTGAGCTTATCTACACACCAGTTGCTGAACCCCCACTGCTGCCATGCGGCTCCCACGCCTTTGCCAGGCTCTCGGGTTCTGTGCTTCCCCTGAGTTCTGAGAAGCCTCCCACCTTTCTCAAGGCCCTTCGCCTTTGCTTAGCACTCTGACTGTAAGGAAACAGCCACCTGCCTAGAGGTAAAGACATCATAGGCTCCAGTATATGAGCTCCATCAGTATCTAAGACTCAAAGCTTTTTGACCAAGTTGCATAGGTAAAAGCCGGCGGTTCACTATAAAAAACTATTCATAATGAGGACTATAATCCTTTATAAACTCCCAAGGTCAAAATCCAGGTAGGCTCACTTCAGAAAGCACCACCAACGCTCAAAGTCACCAGCCCTACCTAGTCTAATCAGTTGCCCCAAAAGTGCTTTGCAAAATCTAAACTCGTTGCCTCCTTTTTGAGCTTCGTGGGAGCCATGTACCAGATGTTGGGGTCTCAAGACTGCTTCTCCCCTATCATTTCAAGGACCAGGTCCTGGCCCCGATAAACCTTATTGTATGAAAGAAGCAATCTGAGAGCACAAGCTCTTTGCAGGTAAGGCAGCTACCAAGAGAGAGGAAAGAGCAAGGGGAAGACGCTACGAAGGCAGCTTCCAGAGGGAAGGAGGGAGGGCACAGCTTGTACTCTCCACGGCCGACCCCAGGACTAGACAGACTTACACCGTCCTGGGCAGCCCTCCCTGGTGGCTCCCTCACTAAGGGCAGAGCCTGTCCCTAGAGAAGCAGAGAAATGCCTGCTCCCTGTGGGTGGCTTGCTCCCAAAAGGGACGAAGGAGGCACCGAGTCAGCCAAAAAGTTCAATGAGAGAAATCCCTCCCAAGAAGTAGGAGGAGTGAAAAGGCAAGTACTGTGACAAATAAGAGCTCCTTCTGCACCAAGGGGAACTCTGGGAACGGGGAAGAGGCACCCACCTCTCAGGGCTGCAGGCAGATGAAGCCTTGTCTGTGTTGTATTCAGACTGAAAAGCTAAATGGCAGTGTAATTTTGAATCCTAAAAAAGGAAAGTTAAAAAAATTTTTTAAGGACAACAGAGTAGATCCGAAAGAAGTATACACATCCTTGGTTGTAGATATAGGTTTAGATTTATTGAGTTATTGCTCATCAATAACCACCTAAGTGACTCAAAAGAGAGTCACTGGCCTGTAAAATGACAAAGCTTAGTGCAATCGAAGTGCTGAATTCATATTATTGCTCTTGGTGCAGCTGTGACGTAAGCAAGTCCCTTACTTTCTCCAAGCCTCTTTCTCTGTACAGTGAGGGAGCCAAGCTAGATAGCATCCAGGTCTTCGCATCACTGAGACTCTGTAATCACATTGAACCCACCCAGTACCAAGTTCCACAGCCATTAAGATAATAAAGCATTTCCAGTGGGTTGTTTATATTCAACCACCATGAAAAGTGTTTTTTTATATGAATTTTAATTTAATATGCTATCTGCAAATTCAAAAAAAACTTTAAAAATATTTATTTTCTTTATTACTTCTTTTAAACTTAGTTTTTAATGAACTGTGCTCCATTTGAACCTCAGAGCAGGCCTCTTCCCCATGCTAAGGAGGCAGTGTCTTCACTGGCACAGTCTCACACACATTCTCAGCATTATACTCGCCAGGGCCTCTCCCCACTGCTCCAGCATTGTAGCTTTTTAAAGTGCTGTCAAGTCTCCATTCTCATTGGATGAACAAAACAACCTGCAGAACAGGGCATACTCCACTGACTTACTTGGAAGAGAAAGACCTTGCAGCTCAGCAAAGTTAAGTGATTTGCATATGGCCTCAGTCAGGTGATGGCAGAGCTGGCCCTGGAATAGGGCTTCCAGCCCAGGGCCTGCCCCATAGCATCACATAGCATCACAGTCTGTCTGGTTCACCTGCTGCCTCCTTCCTGGGTGAGGTAATTCCGCGCCCCACCCCCACCTGCCCTCCCACATCGTGTCCTCGTGTGGGGCGTGTCTCCGAATTGGGATGGACTGCATCATTCTCACCCCTGGACACACCATGTCCGCGGCAACACTGAGGTGCTTCTGCTCGATGACTGGATGCTGTGGCCAGGGGCAGCGCTCAGCGTGGAGTCCCAGCCCAGCACCCAGTCTGTGGCTTGCAGAAAGGGCTAACTTGGTTATTCCACATCCCCCCGCTTTCTGTGCACCTTGTCCCTTTCTGTGGTTTCTCACCGTCTCTCTCCCTCCCCTGCTCTCTTGTCACTCCGCTTTCTGGCCTTGTCTTGCTTCTCCCCTCCTGCTTTCCTTCCCCTTCTGGCTTTTGTCCCTCAGCCCCACGCAGGTCCTGGGGCAAGCTGCTCTGGGGCTGGTTCTGTGGGCTCTCGGGGGCCCCAGAACAAGCCCTGAGCCCAGCAGAGAAGGCTGCACTAGAGCAGAAGCTGACCAGCATCGAGGAGAAGCCGCTCTGGAGAAGCGTCTGCAACATCAATGCTGTCCTCCTGCTGGCCATCAACGTCTTCCTCTGGGGCTATTTCGCGTGACTCCACAGACCTGGCTTCAGCTGAGACCATGAAACACAGCCCAAGCCTGGCTGGCCACAGAGACAGGCTCTCCTCCTGCCTTGCGGTCCAAACTGGAGACCATGGAGGCTAAGACTGCAGGAGCGCCTGAAGAGCCCCTAATCCAGCCTGCACACTTGACCAGTGGAGAAATGGAGGCCCAGAGAGAGCACTGGGTCCACTCAGGGCCACACAGCAGGACTTGCACTGGCCTCCTGACTCCACCTCTCTTCCCATTACATTGCCTTAAAGTCCTACCTCAAAAGCACTGTTTCCACACTCTTGGTGAGTCTACTCAGGAGCATTTATTCAATGTGTGTGTGGAGGGTAAAAACTGGAGAGAACAGGAAAAGGGATGGCAAGAAAGGTGCAGAAATCCATGTGCATCTTTGCTCACCCGTATCCCTTCCATTTCCCCCTTCCCCTTCCTCTGCCTCTCTCGTTCCCAATCCTCAGTCATCTGTTTCTAGCCGCCATCTACCCAGAAGGACCTTATGCTTCCATTGGCCATTCCACATGGTGGCCATCAGTCCCAAAGGAATGTGAGCATGGTAACAGATGGTGTTCAGGGCAGGGAGCCCTGGGGTAAGGGACTCTCCTTGGCATGACTCAAATTCTGCCTCTTCCTACTCTCATATCCAAACATGTACAACGTCTCCATGGCCTTAAAGAACTGAGAGTGCAGTTGGAGACATGACTTGTTGAAAACAAGTGGAATTGAGACAGGCTGCTCTGTGCCTAAGAGTGAGCCCTGCAAAGGGCCAGCATGGACAGCCAAGGCACCACTGCAGCGGGGTCTGTGCCCTCTGCCCTTGCCTGCCAGGCGTCACCTACCCTGGAAAACATGACCCTGCTTAGCTATCCCTCCCCCAGGAAGCTGCGCAATGCCCCACGCTGGGTCAAGGTCACACCTCTGCTCCCACACCCCCTATCCCCGCTTCTGTGGCAGCACCGATCACTGCACTGTGATGCTTGTCTGCCGACTAGACGAGTCTTCCAAGGGGTAGGGACCAAGGACCAAATGACTTTAAACCCAGAAAGTAGCAGGTGTTCCATAAATGTTGAATAAGTGATTCTCCAAGGGTCAGGTAAGCTGTGTGCTATGGCTGCCGGGGTCGTGACACAGGGAGCCAGGCAGCTGGTGGGGCTGAAGCCCCTTCTGTTGGAGTTTACACACTGATTCTTGGTGTCTATATAGAGAAACCACAGCCCCGACCTATTGCCAGAGACAGATGAGAATGTCCCTTCCTCCATCTATCTCCCTGTCTAGGCTGCCCGAGTCTCGCTGATCTTCTAGAATGCTGCCTTTGATCATCACTTATACTAATCAGTCATCATAATTGAATACAAATGAAATTCTAGTTCTTTGAGGTTTAAAGACAGCTGATTCTATGAATATTTGTGGCCACTGCGACCTCCAAATTTCTGTGTCCCCTGACCATTGGACATCTGTCACCTCGTATGACTGTGCGCCCCTCACTGCTCCCCACTGACCATTCCTGTGAACTCAGCTTTCTCCTTTGATTTCCCTCCAAACCACCTAAGGCATTTGTGTACAACCAATTATAAGAAAGGTTTGGGGAAGGGAAGAATTTTAAACCACAGAAATGCAATTTAAAAATAAGTGTTGAACATCCCTCAGCAGCTCGCTATGAGAAGTCCCATGGGTCTTCTCAGTCTGCAGGCTCCTGCTGTGGCTCCCAGTCCCCTCCACCATCATCGTTTCCCATCTCCCAGCCCTCCATTTTGGGCCCTCCCCTCAGTTTTTCACTCGCTTTGCTATACTGAGTCTCCTCCGCAGTTCAGACCTATCTCTTCTGCAAAGACTGTGAGCGCGCAGTGAAACACAGGACTGCAGTCAGGTGGCCGCTCTCCCTCCTCACCCTCTGTGCCTGGTTAACTCCTACTTGTTCCTCACGTCTCAGCATAGAAGTCATGTGCATCCTAAGGGAAGCCATATTGTTTCAGTGACAAACTTACCAGGGCCACCTGCGTCCCAGAAGAGATAAGCCCCAGAACCCACATAGAATCTCACGTTCCCTCAATTTACTTTTCAAACAAAGTGTCATTATTTCACTGCATTATTATTTCATTCATCCTCATCTCTTCTCCTAGATTATAAGCTCCCCCACTGAGTCCCCACTACTTAGACAATGGTGGGCACTCAAAAAATGTGTTGCATGAGTAAATAAAATAATGAATTGTGGCTCAGTTGGTTAAGAGCTCGCTCTAGGATTTCAGCTCTGAGAAACAGCGGTTCGAGTCTGGCCCGAGCTGAGCTGCCAACAGGTGGCAGGATGGCTCAGCTAAAAAAAAAGAATGAATTAACAAATGAGTCAAAGAGTAGTCTTAGCAGAGGAAACCAAATATTCAAAACACAGAGGTGGTGACAATCATGACACAGTCAGAGGGAGTTTAAAGTGTCTGGATGGGAGGCTCATGTGGGCAGGGCCATCGCTAGCCCATCTGTCCTCTCTGTGCAGGTGAGGAAAAGGTGCCCTTCCTTCTTTGGTAGGTATGACTCCTCACCAGGAGCTCATAGATGGCAGCCAGAGCTCAGGCTGCACGTCCCCTGCTACATGTTCTCCAGGTCAGGGGCATTTGTGCAGGGCAGCAGCGGCCCCTCCATGAGTTGGTAGCCCTGCCATGTTGGGGAGTGGCTGGTGCAGCGGCTGGGAGGTGAGCAGGGGTTCGCTCAGGGAGGAGGTTCATGCTCAATGTGCGACTTCGTCATCGCTTACCTGGATTATTGCACCGGTCTCTTGACTGTTACCTCTGGTCTCAACATCCCCTCTTCCAATTCAGCCTATGTTCTATAGCGAGAGTGACCTTTGTAAAGTGCCAATCTTGTGTCATCAAACTGTTGAAGGTTCTCTGCAGATAATGCTTCCTAGCCTTGGCATGAGGCCCTGCTAGAAATACCTGCAGGGGTCAGTCCTCGGGTCCCTGTCTTTACCCCAGCCAAAGAAAGAGGCTGTTCTATGCAGTGGTTAAGAGCAGGGATTTGGAAACCTGAGGTTTGGGAAACAATCTTAGCTCTGCCACTTGCTGAAGGTGATTTGGGAAAGTAGCTTAACCTTTCAGGTTCCATTCTATACAATGGAGGTGGTAACTATAGCTACTTCCTAAAGTTGTTGAGAGGATTAAGTGGGTTAATTCACATATAGTATTTAAAACAGTACGTGGCACCTAATTAAAACTCAATAAACATTAGTTATTACTACTACTACTAGTAGGTGAGATGGGAACGCAGGAGGCAAGGCACTACAGAGTCACGATATTCTAGAGCGAGCACAACATGCTATTAGACCAAAGGGGGCATGGGGGGCCATTAATTTTTCCTGATATGTTCGTATTGGAGCTGGACTTTGGAGGATGAATACGAGTTTTCTAGAAGTCACACAAGGTAGAGAGACAGCATATGCAAAGGTGGTTAAGGTACAAAAGTGCATTTGCAAATATCAACCCTGTACATTTTCTTTCCCCTTAGAAATCATGTCTTGTTAGCCTCTCGCATCTCAGGTAGTGAGTGACCAGGGAGAGGCGAGAATGAGGATTTGACCACTGTAGCAGAGGCTGTTACTGCCCCCCACCAGGTCCCCTAGGCACTCACCTGTCCTGTTTGTTGGTGATTTCCTGCATAAAAATGCTGGGCCCCCGACACAGAACGGGCTGGAGGTGCTGGGGCATTGAGGGCCTGGGAAAAGCCCTCAACCAGTGACAAACGAGATGGTGGATGAGCACTGCCAGTCCCTTGCCCATCAAGTGGGACGACTCACAGGCTTGTTATAACCATCTCCAGAGGTTCCAGGGGATTGAGCCCCAGTTGCCCAGAGTTCACTTGAATAGCTGCCTTCTCTTTCTTGTCTCAATCCCCCACTCTCTTGCTGGCGTTTTCTGGATCGCCTCCCAAATTAACTACTGGGCTTGCATTTGGTTTCATGTACTGCTTCTGAGGAAACCAAACTCAGAGAGTCTTTTAAGACTTGCAGGTGCTCGTGTCCTAGCTAAATTTTGCTACAATTTGCTTTGTGACAGCCCCCTATCCTCATACCTCAGTTTTGTCATCCTTAATAAGGGGGCACAAAGGTTTGAATTCATTTAGATGAAGTCGAGGGAGCCTTCCAATGCTGACGCTGTGTGCTTCTGACTCATTTCCATCTTTGTCTCCTTGGGGCAGGGGTGGGTGGTAGTGGAGGGCAAACCACATGCCACATGCCAGCACACTTGAGTGCAAATGGCACAGATAGAAAAACACCAAAAAGTAGTTTTCAGAGAATTGAAATGGGTTTGCCAGGAGCAATAAGAACATTAAGAAGTAGCTTTGGACTGTGAAAGGACGATGTTTAAAAACAAATAGTGCTCTTAAAAATACCATGAAGAAATGTTTTTAAGAGTGATTTGCAATTGAGCTGGGACCACAAAAGCACTCAATTTAATATGTGAGGCTCGTAACTATGTCCCTGGGTGTGACAGTTCACATCAGTTAGAAGGCAGTGGAAACTGCTTAGACGCCCAGGCGAAACAGTGTCAGTTTTCCATTAACCTAGAACTAGTGTCTCTCTAGACTTCTAGCCCTAAGTAAGATTACTGTAATTTCTTCTTTTCTCCAGGGTGAAAAGTTGGAAGCACTTTAAAGGTTATATATAAATATAAATCCTAGAGACTTAAATTGAGTTGACTTTCATATTTCAAAATCAAATCTCAGCTTAGCCCGGACTCACAAAGTAGAAATGTCAGATTTTTTTTACCATGATCTTACAGATAATCTACAACTTTCACTTAAAGAAGACAAATAAAACGCCATTATACTTTATCCCCTGAATAGAATACAAAAGCTTTGGTCCATCTCTCAGTATGGTTTGTATGTAAATTTTAGGATTATATACATTCAGAATGGGAAGGAACCTTCGGAGTCAGCTGGTTCACATTCTTTTCCTCCTTAGTCCAGGTTAGAATTTCTCTGAACAGAACCTGTGACAGGTAAGGTTAGCCAGCCACTGCTCGCACACCTCCAATGATGGGGAACTTACTACCTGTCGAGAGGGAACACCTACCATTGGACTACATTGATGATTAGAGAGTTCCTTCTTTTATTGCCTAAACTCTGCACCCATACATTTCCAAAAATACAAACAAACCAAACAATGTGAAAATAACTCAAATGAATCATCTACTCCAAAATTGCATCCCCACTATTTGTGATTTATTCTTAAAGGAATAATTCACAAAACTGGCAACTCCCTGTAGAAGTGCATGATTATCTTGGATGAGAAGCACATAAAGACTAATAAAACTGATGCCTTTAAAAATGCTCCCAATTATTTTATAAACAGCATTTCCACATCAATTATCGCACTTAGTTCTTAATGTTGAATTATTTACAAATGAAGGAACAGACTCAGAGAGGTGAAATGATGTGTCACTCAGCAGTGGAGTTGGTCCTTGAACCCAGAATTCTAACTCCACCTTCAGGCCTCTCTCCATCACACTACTAGTACCCACATGCAGCATTTTTTTGGTGAATGCTACTAGTGTCCAGGCACATGGAATAAACGTGCAAAAAATGTACAGTCCAAGCAAAGGCCAATTTAATAAATAAAGGCAGGCATGTAGGCAAGTTATTGCAGTACATTGCAGTGAGGCCTGAAATTAGAGGAAGAAAGAAAATGCTTTGGGAACACAAAAAAAGGAGCAACACATTACCCAGTAGAGTTGCAGAGGGTTTTGCAGAAATGATGTTTAACTTGAATTTTGAAGGGTGAATATAGATTTCTGGGCAGAAAAATGGAATGAATTATTTTCCAAGCAGAAGAAACAGCACAAAGCCAGACAAGTAAGAAAGAGGGCATGGCCTGTTTGGGGTAGAGTGAGATATTTGGTGTGGCTGAGGCATGAGGTGTGTAGGAGTAAAAAGCAGAAAGCTTGGAGGAGAAGGCAGGTATAATCCTAAGGGCAAACAATCCACTATGAACTGGGCACCACGGGGTAGCCCAGATTGGGACAGGGTTGGGGACAGTAAGGGCAATGACTATACCCAGGTAGCGTCTGACTATTCATCTTAGAAAGGTCATTATGGCAACAGAAAGAGAATAAAGGGTCAGGGGCTGCTAAGGGATGGCAATTTATGAGGTTGTTGCAGTATCACCAGAAAGAAATAAGTCCATCAACAGATGAATGGATAAACAAAATGTAAATACACACACTGGAATACTATTCAGCCATCAGAAGGTATGAAATATTGATGTATGCTACAGCATGATGGACCTGAAAATATTACGCTTAATAAAATAAGCCAGAAGTAGAAGGGCAAATATTTATGATTCTATTAATATGAGGTATCATGAATAGGCAAGTTCACAGAGACACCAGATAGAATA